GTTTTTCCTTTCCATGTGTGTATTTTTGAATCTGCTGAAGCATTTTGCATTCATGTCAAAAATGGATTACTATTTATTTTTTTGTTCAACTCTAACAGTTGCTTGGATGATTAGTATTGTCAGAAGAATTTCTTCGCTTCTTTGCCAAATAAACCAATGAAATAATATAAGGTCCAGTTGGTCATTACTGGAGATTTTCATTATTTTCACTTAGTTACTTTTCCATCAGATTTTTTTATATTACTAATAAAATCTTGTTTATTTATTGAAAGTTACTAATTTTTAATACATTTTTCTGCTGAATGAAAAACTAAAAACTGGAAATAATTACAAATCTTAACTCCATTAATCATTGGATTTTATGGTATTTTGGAGTTAATATTTTGCTGTTGTTTGACATTATGATTTTATTTGTGATATTAACTGTAGTTTGGTGTTTTGTTATACCTTAAATTAATCATATGTTGTTAGGGCAATTTACAAATGCATTAATATTAGTTATGATAGTATTTAACAAACAATACCTAGTTAAGGAGTTCCTCCATTAGAAGTTTTTCTGTGTAAGAAGTTTAATTTTAAAAGTCTTAATTATCCTGTCAAAAATGTTCCCATTTAAGAAAATTTACCACTTAAGTGGACTTAAATTCTTGTCCACGATTGAAAAATGGATTTGCTTAAGTTTTTCAGCTGCATCCTATTGAAAATTTGGGATTGTCTGTAAATTAAGTAACACTATTTTTATACATTCTAGCTACCATTTTAACCCCTGTAACACCCTGTAATTTGCTGTTGCACATAACCACTGAAAATTATGTAATGCATATCCTTGATCAACTCTAAAGTTTTACAGTTAAAATTTGACAAATTAAAAGCATATGTTCAACTTCAGGATGTTAAATGAGCTGGAATCTATTAAAAATTATTTGAATTGTTGATAATAAATAAGAAATAAACTTTAAATTTAAATGATTAATTTAATCTTTTTATTATTATACATTACAAATATAGTTTCTTTTAAATTAATGTTTTTTTTTTTTTTTTTAGAATTAGACAACAAAAGTTATAGTCAAATCTGAGAAGTTTTCATTTAGCAATAAACTGCTGGTAGTTTAATCCTTATGTATTTAACAAACAATACTAGTGATTTAAAGACATTAGCATTGTGCAATGTTTTTGTAAATTCCTTGTAACACATCACAGTGATTATCAGCTTACCCACCCTTATATCAGTATTATGTAATTTATGGATTGTCTGCTTTATACATTTAATTGCATATAGCAATGTTTCTCAACAGGGATGATGTCGCCCCATGTGGGCGTTTTTCCATGTTGAGGGGGCGATTTGTAACAATTTATATTTTGGGGGCAAAAACAATTTTCTGGGCGATATAGTAAAACATTATATTAAGAATAATTAGATATTTTATTTGTTATATCGTACAATAATTAAACAAATAACATTATACTAGTTAATACTCTATTCAATGCAGTACGAACTTGGCGTTAGTCTTGGCCCTCGGCATCGGAATTTTGAAGTGAAGGAGGCGATACTACGATGAAAGGGGCGACGGTTCGTTAGAGGTTGAGAAACACTGGCATATAGGAAAAGAAAAAAATTTACATTAGAACATGAACAAAATTTTGTGTCATTGTGCATGTGACTATGAGATATTTTGAATATGGATTTTACAATATTTTTTAACAATTACCTGCAACAAACAGCAAGTTATAACAAGCACTACTAATACATAGGTGATGGTGAAAGTCTTCGATGAATTTTAGTATGATATTTGTGGATCTGTGGTTTTTGTGGGAATCAAAAGATGTATTCTTTTACATAACAGAATAGATAAAGCAGCCTACATTAGACAAATATCTAAATAAAAAAAGTAGTGTATATAAGCCTAATTCACTGTAAGTAGTGGTACATTGTTAAATAAATATGGATTATTGAAAAAAGCTAAAATATTTACTTTTCTGCTTAAGAAGTTTTTAAATTAGTCCTTTGAAAAACTTTTTAACTGAGTTCTACTATATTTCCTAAAATCTATCATGATATAACCTAAATAGGGATGAAATCAATTCTGTTGATATTTCATGTTTTGTCTTTGACACAATCTTAACTAATACAAATTAATAACAAAAGTATGGTATTTAGCTTTTTGTTCATGTCTCATGAATTCTGTCTTAGGATATTTTGTGGGAAAAATTTGACAATAATACAGAAATAAATGCCATTTTCTGGCTTTCACAAGTTTTTATCTTACAAGGAGAGGTCATAGCATGGTCATAACAGATTTCAGTAATATTTGTACAGATAACATAGTTGTCAATCATCAGCATTTTATATCCTCCATCAGTGGATAGGCTGCTTTTCCCTTTTGTCAGCATTTTTAAAGAGTTTGATATCATCACAGAAACACTTTATTTAACAAGTCTAATAACAATATATATGCCAAAGACAATGTATGTATTTTATTTCAAACAGCTGAAGGGAACCAGAAAGACGTTCTAAGGTCTTTCTGGTTCCCTTTGTTCAATTGTTCAATTTGTTCAATTGTTTTGTTCAATTGGGAAAGAACCAAGATTGATATTTTTATATATTAATATGTATATTGGTTTAGATATGAAAATTTTAGCTCAAATATGATAATTTTAAATGGCAGATATAATAAATTGCATCAAGTGTGGCAATGTTAGTGCTATCATGTTGGCAGTTAAATCAATCATGGCTGACTCATCAGCAGAAGGAAAGGAGTTATTTTTACAGTTAGTCCAAATTATTGAGTATCACTATAATTTATCTGCCGAAAATAAGAAAAAAAAATCATCTGATTCATCACTTAAGCATATACAGGCCATATTATATAAACTTTCTCAAGAAAAGAAACCATATGGTTCTTTGGGATTTGTGGGATTTTGCTAATGATGGTTTTGTCACACAACATTTCAGGGCTTCCCCTATATTACTGTGCAGCAAAAGGAAAAGATATTCACTATAATAAGAAAAAGTAAGACAGAGATAGGAAATAAATTACAGTAAAAAAAATTATAGTTCTTAATAATTGCAGTGAAAGTCAATAAACTGACCAGCAGCTATACATATATGAGTACATTGTAACAAATCAAAATATTGTGCAAAGGCTTATAAGAAGAAGCACTCATCATACAATATCAAGATTCATGACACATCAAGATGGAACACACAATAAATTTGGGTGTAACTTTATGATGTGTCCTGTAAAATACTTGACTTTTTTAAAACTGATGTTAATGAGTATAAAGCTATTGCCATACTCTTGACAGCATTTATGGCAATAGCTTTACATGATATCATATGTAGACATAAAATTAAATTTTGTTTATTAAAGGTATTTCATATAAGCATTGTGAAATATAAATGTTAATAAAGGATTTTTTTAATGCTGTTAGCATTTTTATTCAAAAAGCAACATTTTTCTACCAACATCTCATCTATTCCTCATTCTAAAGGTTGGCAAGTATGGGATAAGCCTTGGTAAAATAAAATGAGCAAAGGACAACTGTTTTAAAGAAAATAAGTTAAAAAATTCTGAGCAAGTTATAAGTAAGTTTTCTAAAGCATATTGAAGACCACATGGTTTGGTAGGAGTGTGCCTTGTTCACATTTGCATAGCCACTGGTTCAGATCTCAGTGAGAGTTTTTTTCAAATCAAAGCAATTTTTACATGAACTAATTGTAAACTACATGGATTTATACATTAGCTATTTATTTATTTATTAAAAATGTGCATTTTCTTTCTCTGAAAATTCATTTTCAGAATTGCTGTCTGTTAAAATTAAATTTAAAGAATTTTACATTTAGGAATGTAAGAATATCACAAACAATTTGATATTTTAAGCAATTAAAAAATTAAAAGAAAATTATTACTAATTACCAATATCACATTTAATTGTTATATGTAATGGTAAACAATTTGACTTTTGAATGTCCTTCTTATTGTTTACATCATAAGTATATTCCTTTTTCATAGCTAATAAAACAAGCAGACAGTAAACATAAATTAAAGCTATGACTTAAGAATAATAAAACCATAAACTGTAATAAAACTAATTATTTAAATTTTAAAATCAAACTATTTTTAATGGACAATTTTGTAAAGGAATTTTTATAGAAAGAAAATGAACATTTTTAATAGAAAATAAATAGCTAATATATAAATCCATGTAATTTATAATTATTTTATATAAAAGTTTTTTTGATTTGAAAAAAGCTTGCTCACTGAGATCTGAGTCATTGATCTTATAAATATGAACAAGGCCCATTTTCATCAAATCATGTGGTCTTTAATAAAAACTCTTTCTAACCTGTTACCAGTGCATTCTCCTTCTTCTACTAAATCGTAATGAACCAAAACAGCTCTTTAACAAACAAAAATAGCTCTTTACTAATGTTTTCGAACCCTAACGACTGTTCTTCTTCAGGTATTTTTGAATCTCTGATGGAAATACTGCTCATAAAACTTTAAATTCTTCATGTGGTCTTTGATGATATGTTCTGGAAAACTTACTTATGAGCCACTCATAATTTTACAAAGCATTCTTTGTTTCATTGCTCAATAAAGATTCATACTAATGCTTATTCATACAAACAATACTGAAATCTGTGATGACCATGTTGCAACCTATCCTTGTTAAGGTTTCATCTCTTGCAGATTTTACTTGCTATAAATCTTGCAGATTATTAAGTTGCTACAAAAATTTAAAAAGCTTAATTCAAGATACAAATTAGTTATTATGTAATTAAATCTGTATTAATAGTATGAAAAAGCCAAAAGTACTAGTTACAAAGAAAATTTATTCTTGTTAGTAAAGATTTAATTATGTAATAATAAAAAAGCTTATTTAAACAATAGATATAAATAAGAGTTTTATAGAATATTTAAAATATGTTTAATAGTTTATTAGTATTGAACTTGCAAAATGCTTCATTGATGAGATAATATTTTAAATCATTACAGGGTAAAAATATTGACAGCTATGATGATGGATTGCTTGAATTAGAGCAATCTTCAATGTCTCAACCTATCTCTGAGGTAAGTTTTATCTTGTCCTATAGAGCCTAAGCACCTAATGAAATTTCCAATGTAACAGTAACATATTATATATATATGCCCAATAGATTGTATTGTTTCTACTCTTGGCGTTTGTTTTTTGCCCTTCATTCAATTATAGGATAATCTTGGTTACCGCCTTCTTGAAAAACATGGATGGAAGAGTGGTAAAGGCTTGGGACGTGCTGAACAAGGTAAGAGCTTATTTCATGAGATTTAAATGATAATAATATCTACGAGTGAATTCTGTTCCTGTTTCCCCTCCATGACAAAGAAAATTGGGTAAGTAGTAGCAAGGTAAGTAGTTTTATAATAATAATAAGGCTTATTTTACACCTGAATTATCTGAAGGCTTTTCAAGAAGTTCTGGCAAGTCATTCACATTTTTGACTTTTCTACAGGTTTTTGGTCATACTCTGTGTTGCAATTGAGGCAGCACAGGCAAGAATTAATGTCCAACATCTGGCCATGGACCATGTAGTTAGCAAAGGGTGTTCCTCGCTTTATGCAAGCATTTTGAAATTGCTGATAACATGCATATGATAGGGAAATACCTGCAAAAGAGCCTGTGGTAATAATCAATAAACAAAAATGTATTCACTTATTTTAAATTTTAATATTACAAAAATGATTGAAATGCTATTGAGAATTAATTTGCTGATAATTTCATAAAAAATAAATTAAATAATAACATCTTTTTTAAGATGAGTTAATTTATTCCATTTTATCTATAAAATTGAAATTCAAAAGTAATTTTAAAGATTTTAATAAACCATTCCCCTTGCTTATAAGCTGTGGTAGTTATGAAACTGATGCCTGTGCTGCATTGCTGTTTTGTTCTGATTTTAAGTTCATTACTCTGTCCACAGTGGATTATTGAATGGAGTATGACTGCAGAGAAGCCAGAAACTGGGTTGAGCTGGAACGTTATAATGGATTACCTCATTCTATAGAACCTGCATAATATCTGTTGTGGTTACTTCTTTAAATCACTTTTGTTATTGGAAGTGTTAGACCTGAATCCTCAGGTGCTAGATGATGGTTTTAGAAGAGACTTTAACTTGATGGAATTGCAAAATTAATCATCACAAGTTTTTATTTTATTTTTACGTCAAAACATAATGGATTAATTACAACTTATTTGAAGCCTTTAGATATTAAGAAAATAGGTATTGTTATTACTTATATATATATATTATTTAGATTTAAATCATAATTTCATAATTAACTAGGAAATTATTTTTTTTAACTTACTTTAAGGTTAAAAACTCTATAAATGTTAAGTAAGTGTTAGATATATATATAAATAATAATAAATTATTTATCACTTTGCATGTCATGATTGAATCTTATACCACTGAATTTTTATTTTAAGAGTTTTTTTTAAAGTTCATTTATATTTTAATAATAATAATAATAATGTTAAGTTCAAGTAAATGATGTGAAATCTTGTGAAATAGTGATAAATTTAAAAATTAGATATATAGACTTATCAGTAAGTATTTTTGCATACACATTCTTGCCTTTGATGTATTGAGCTGCTATCTAAATTAGCTGATTTTTCAGAACAGTTTTAAATTTTTTTAAGTGGTGAAATAACAGTTAAATTCAGAATTTTATTCTATGAGAAATATTACTTATTTATTTAGCTATTAATTTATTATTAGCTTTGAAATGTTTTTCCAAGATTAACATCCCTGATGAACTTAATATGCCTATGATGATCTGAAGTTTTTATTATCTGAAATGTGCAAAAAGATATTTAAAAAAAATTAATTTGATATATTAGCATTTTAAAATTATTTATTATTGATTACATTTCAAAGTTTGTGTTAGTATGATATAATTTTTCCTTATTAATTTAAATTTTTCAAATATTGGATATAAAACTTTGATTAATCTATGCATCATTTCAACTGTAATTTCAAATAAGAATTAAAATATAAAATTATATAATGCATTAATTTAAATAAAATAATTATATAATTTGTCAAAAAAGTCAATTGAAAAATTAATGAAGTGTTATCATTTGATTTTTGACAAATTGTATAATTTGATTAAAAACTATATTATTTTAGTTTTTTAAAGATTAATTATTTTAGATTTTTAAATGTGTGATGTCTTGCAAACAAAATAATCAAAAATTCTTTTTGACAATTAGTGTGTAAAAATTCTGTTCAGGAAATCATGAAAGTATGTTATAATCCACTGAGAGAGAGAATTTTATACAGATGTATTTTTTTTTAATGTTTTTATAAAATAAAATTTATGATATAATTATTATATCATATAGTTTAGAGATAAAATAATGATAAACTGCCTTCCTTTCTTAAAATATACTTTTAATAATCTGAACTTCCAATAATCCAAATTTTTTAGTAATAAAACTGAAATTTGGAGAAAAATTATGCAAGATGTTCATTGACTATCTAAGTGAAACTGAAGTATAATCATCTGAAATTCTTTTCTTACCAAAGTAAGATTTGATCAAGAAGAAAAGTTATTAAAAATGTCAATTACCAAGCCAAAAAAAATTGGCTTTTTTTATGTTGATAAATCAGCATTAGAGAGGTTGAGGCGCACGTTTTAAACGTGTACGTGTGACGTTCGGCGCCGCTTTCCCGTAAGCCTAAAAGTTTGACGATGGTGTTTGGAATGTCGAGCGTAATTCCACCGACTATCCAAACACCATTGTTAAACTTTTAGGCTTACGGGAAAGCGGCGCCGAACGTCACACGTACACGTTTACACGTTTAAAACGTGCGCCTCAACCTCTCTA